CTTCCTGATTCAGTCTTGGCAAGTTGTGCATTTCTAAGAATTTGTCCATTTCTTCCAGGTTGTCCATTTTATATGCATAGAGTTGCTTGTAGTAATCTCTCATGATCTTTTATATTTTTTCAGTGTCAGTTGTTACTTGTCCTTTTTCATTTCTAATTCTGTTGATTTGAGTCTTCTTCCTTTTTTCCTTGATGAGTCTGCCTAATGGTTTATCAATTTTATCTTCTCAAAGAACCAGCTTTTAGTTTTATTGATCTTTGCTATCTTTTCCTTCTTTTCTTTTCATTTATTTCTGATCTGATCTTTATGATTTCTTTCCTTCTGCTAACTTTGGGGTTTTTTTGTTCTTCTTTCCTAATTGCTTTAGGTGCAGGGTTAGGCTGTTTATTCCATATGTTTCCTGTTTCTTAAGGTAGGATTGTATTGCTATATACTTCCCTCTTAGAACTGCTTTTGTTGCATCCCATAGATTTTGAATTTGTTTCTAGGTATTTTTTAATTTCCTCTTTGATTTCTTCAGTGATCACTTCGTTATTAAGTAGTGTATTGTTTAGCCTCCATGTGTTTGTATTTTTTACAGCTCTTTTCCTATAATTGATATCTAGTCTCATGGCGTTGTGGTCGGAAAAGATACTTGATACAATTTCAATTTTCTTAAATTTACCAAGGCTTGATTTGTGACCCAAGATATGATCTATCCTGGAGAATGTTCCATGAGCACTTGAGAAAAATGTGTATTCTGTTGTTTTTGGATGGAGTGTCCTATAAATATCAATTAAGTCCATCTTGTTTAATGTATCATTTAAAGCTTGTGTTTCCTTATTTATTTTCATTTTGGATGATCTGTCCATTGGTGAAAGTGGGGTGTTAAAGTCCCCTGCTATGAATGTGTTACTGTCGATTTCTCCTTTTATGGCTGTTAGTATTTGCCTTATGTATTGAGGTGCTCCTATGTTGGGTACATAAATATTTACAATTGTTATATCTTCTTCTTGGATCAATCCCTTGATCATTATGTAGTGTCCTTCTTTGTCTATTGTAATAGTCTTTATTTTAAAGTGTATTTTGTCTGATATGAGAATTGCTACTCCACTTTCTTTTTGTTTCCATTTGCATGAAATATCTTTTTCCATCCCCTTACTTTCAGTCTGTATGTGTCTCTAGATCTGAAGTGGGTCTCTTGTAGACAGCAAATATATGGGTCTTGTCTTTGTATCCATTCAGCCAGTCTGTGTCTTTTGGTGGGAGCATTTAATCCATTTACATTTAAGGTAATTATCGATGTGTATGTTCCTATTCCCATTTTCTTAATTGTTTTCGGTTTGTTATTGTAGGTCTTTTCCTTCTCTTGTGTTTCCTGCCTAGAGAGGATCCTTTAGCATTTGTTGTAAAGCTGGTTTGGTGGTGCTGATCTCTCTGACCTTTCGCTTGTCTGTAAAGGTTTTAATTTCTCCATCAAATCTGAATGAGATTCTTGTGGGGTAGAGTAATCTTGTTGCAGGTTTTTCTCCTTCATCACTTTCAGTATGTCCTGCCAGTCCCTTCTGGCTTGCAGAGTTTCTGCTGAAAGATCAGCTGTTAACCTTATGGGGATTCCCTTGTGTGTTATTTGTTGTTTTTCCCTTGCTGCTTTTAATATGCTTTCTTTGTATTTAGTTTTTGACAGTTTGATTAATATGTGTCTTGGCGTATTTCTCCTTGAATTTATCCTGTATGGGACTCTCTGTGCTTCCTGGACTTGATTAACTATTTCCTTTCCCATATTAGGGAAGTTTTCAACTATAATCTCTTCAAATATTTTCTCAGTCCCTTTCTTTTTCTCTTCTTCTTCTGGAACCCCTATAATTCGAATGTTGGTGTGTTTAATGTTGTCCCAGAAGTCTCTGAGACTGTCCTCAGTTCTTTTCATTCTTTTTTCTTTATTCTGCTCTGCAGTAGTTATTTCTACTACTCTATCTTCCAGGTCACTTATCTGTTCTTCTGCCTCAGTTATTCTGCTGTTGATCCCTTTAGAGTATTTTTAGTTTCATCTATTGTGTTGTTCATCATTGCTTGTTTCCTCTTTAGTTCTTCTAGGTCCTTGTTAAATGTTTCTTGTATTTTCTCTATTCTATTTCCAAGATTTTGGATCATCTTTACTGTCATTATTATGAATTCTTTTTCAGGTAGACTGCCTATTTCCTCTTCATTTGTTAGGTCTGGTGGGTTTTTATCTTGCTCCTTCATCTGCTGTGTGTTTTTCTGTCTTCTCATTTTGCTTATCTTACTGTGTTTGGGGTCTCCTTTTTGCAGGCTGCAGGTTTATAGTTCCCTTTGTTTTTGGTGTCTGTCCCCAGTGGCTAAAGTTGGTTCAGTGGGTTGTGTAGGCTTCCTGGTGGAGGGGACTAGTGCCTGTGTTCTGGTGGATGAGGCTGGATCTTGTCTTTCTGGTGGGCAGGTCCACATCTGGTGGTGTGTTTTGGGGTGTCTGTGGACTTATTATGATTTTAGGCAGCCTCTCTGCTAATGGGCGGGGTTGTGTTCCTGTCTTGCTAGTTGTTTGGCATAGCTTGTCCAGCCCTGTAGCTTGCTGGTCGTTGAGTGCGTGAAACTGCGTGTTGGTGTTGAGATGGAGATCTCTGGGAGATTTTCGCTCTTTGATATTACGTGGAGCTGGGAGGTCTCTTGTGGACCAGTGTCCTGAAGTTGGCTCTCCCACCTCCTAGGCACAGCACTGACTCCTGGCTGCAGCACCAAGAGCCTTTCATCCACACTGCTCAGAATAAAAGGGAGAAAAAGTAGAAATAAAGAAAGAAAGAAAGAAAGAAAGAGGATAAAAGAAAATAAAATCAAGTAAGGTAAAATAAAATAAAGTTATTAAAATAAAATATAATCATTACGAAAAAATAATATTTTAAGTAGAAAAGAAACAAAAAAACAGACGGATAGAACTCTAGGACAAATGGTGAAAGCAAAGCTATACAGACAATATCTCACACAGAAGCATACACATACACACTCACAAAAAGAGGAAAAGGGGAAAAAATAATAACTCCTGCTGTCAAAGTCCTCCTCCTCAATTTGGGATGATTCGTTGTCTATTCAGGTATTCCACAGATGCAGTGTACATCAAGTTGATTGTGGAGCTTTAATCCACTGCTCCTGAGGATGCTGGGAGAGATTTCCCTTTCTCCTTCTTCGCACAGCTCCCGGGGTTCAGCTTTGGATTTGGCCCCGCCTCTGCGTTTAGGTCGCCGGAGGGCATCTGTTCTTCGCTCAGACAGGACGGGGTTAAAAGAGCCGCTGATTCAAGGGCTGCGGCTCACTCAGGTTGGGGGTAGTGAGGGGCACGGAGTGTGGGGTGAGCCTGCGGCGGCAGAGGCCAGGGTGATGTTGCACCAGTCTGAGGCATGCCGTGCGTTCTTCCGGGGAAGTTGTCCCTGGATCCCGGGAGCCTGGCAGTGGCGGGCTGCACAGCCTCCCAGGAAGGGAGGTGTGGATAGTGACCTGTGCTCGCACACAGGCTTCTTGGTGGCGGCAGCAGCAGCCTTAGCATCTCATGCCCGTCTCTGGGGTCCGCACTGTTAGCCGTGGCTCACGCCCGTCTCTGGAGCTCCTTTAAGCAGCACTCTTAATCCCCTCTCCTGGCACACCAGGAAACAAAGAGGGAAGAAAAGTCTCTTGCCTCTTCGGCAGGTCCAGACTTTTCCTCGGACTCCCTCCCAGCTAGCCGTGGTGCACTAACCCCCTGCAGGCTGTGTTCACGCCGCCAACCCCAGTCCTCGCCCTGCGCTCCGAGCTCCGACCGAAGCCCCGCCTGCCCCAGCGGGTGAGCAGACAAGCCTCTCGGGCTGGTGAGTGCTGGTCGGTACCGATCCTCTGTGCAGGAATGTCTCCGCTTTGCCCTCCGCACCCCTGTTGCTGTGCTCTACTCTGCGACTCCGAAGCTTCCCCCTCTGCCACCCGCAGTCTCCGCCCGCGAAGGGGCTCCTAGTGTGTGGAAACTTTTCCTCCTTCACGGCTCCCTCCCACTGGTGCAGGTACCGTCCCTATTCTTTTGCCTCTGTTTATTCTTTTTTCTTTTGCCCTACCCAGGTACGTGGGGAGTTTCTTTCCTTTTGGGAGGTCTGAGGTCTTCTGCCAGCGTTCAGTAGGTGTTCTGTAGGAGCTGTTCCACATGTAGATGTATTTCTGATGTATCTGTGGGGCGGAAGGTGATCTCTGCGTCTTACTCTTCCGCCATCTTCCCCCTCTCCTGCTAGTGTTGTAGGGTCTCCTGCAGAGGCGGGTGGTGGCTGTGGCTCACTATGGGGACAAGGACATTCCGAGCAGGTTTTTAATGTGGACAAGACAGGACTGTATTGGAAGAGGAGGCCAGAATGAAGTTACATCAGTAAGGAGGAGAAGTTGTTGCCAGGCTATGAAGCAGCAAAGGACAGGCTAACTCTGTTGTTTGGTGGCAATGCTTCTGGTCATATGAAGCTGAAGCCTCTCTTAGTTTATCATTCAGAGAACCCCAAAGCCCTTAAAAACATAGCCACAGGCTCTCTTCCTGTTGTATAGAAGAGTAACCCCAAAGCCTGGGTTACACAGGCCATTTTCCAGGATGGGTTTTTCTACCACTTTATCCCAGAGGTAGAGAAATATTGCTTGGAGAAGGAGATCCCATTCAATATTCTTTTTGCTGCTTGATAATGCTCTCGGCCACCTCCCATTCATGGATGACTTTCATCCTAATGTCAAAGTAGTGCATCGCCACTGAATACTATGTCGCTCATCCAACCTATGGACCAGGGAGTTATAGCGACTTTCAAGAAATATTATTTATGTCATGCTTTTCGTCAGGCAGTAAAGGTAAGTGATGAATCAGGAACAACATGGCAACAATTTTGGAAGGACTATAACATCTACAAGGCCATAAGAAACATTGACTTTGCTTGGTGTGAGGTTACGGCCATTACCATGAATGGGATTTTAAGAACATTTGTCTGCAGTTTGTTCATAATTTTCATGGATTTGAGGTGGATGAGGAGTCCAAAGAGGTCTTCAACAACTTAGTGACCCTCGGCAAGAAGATAGATCTGCAAGAGGACAATTTCATTGAACTCCTTGCTCTGCAACACAAGGAGCTTACTAATGAAGACCTGATGGAATTGGTGGCCCAGAGTAAGGATGAAGAGAGACAAGAGGAAGAAGACGTAACTGAAGAACTAAAGAGATTCATGACCGAGGAATTTTCTTTATTTGAGGAGGCGCTGTTAGTTTTCAAGGCACAGTACCTGAATGTAGAATGGTTCACAAAGGTTGCAGCCGCTGTTCAGAAAGCAGTCTCTGTTATCTTTATGAGAAAAAAAGAGCTACTACCCAGACATCACTGGATTGTTTTTTTAAGAGGGTAGATAGAATTGAATCCAGTAAGGAATCAGAACCCATGTCATCTATGTCAGGTGTGAGTGAAATTGCAGCTTGCCCTCCGTCTCCTATTGCTGACAATCCTTCAGCTCTATCATCTCCCACCTCCTCTCCCTCCTCCAGTCAGTAACTCTTCTTGCCTGTTTACTCGATGCCAGCCCCTGGATGCCAGCTGTTGTACTGTACCACTGTACTTTTCAAGGTACTGTACTGTAAGATTAAAATGTTTTCTTTATTTTTTGTGTTTGTTTTTTATGTATTATTTGTGTGAAAAGTATTATAAACCTATTACAGTACTACATAGCTGATTGTGTTATGGGTATCTAAGCTAACTTTGTTGGACTTATGAACACGCTCTCAGAATGGAACTCATTCGTATGTAGGGGACTTACTGTATTGGAAACAAGTAAACAAGTCTTGCTGACCTGTGAGGCAACATTAAATGGTCTAAGATACATTTAATCGAATTTACAGAAGGAAAGAACAGAGAATGGTGTAGGGAGGTAAGTTAAAGAAATAATGGTTGGAAGTTTCCCAAATGGTGAAAATATCAACCTATCATCTATCTATGATGCTCAAAGACTTCCAATGAGGATAAATACAAAGAAAACCACACATCACAGCCTAATTGCAGAAAACCAAAGCTAAAAACTTTACCTTAAAGCCAAAAATCTGAATCCCATCAGATAAAAATGTAACTCAAAACTGTTGGGGAAGAAAAGAAAAATCTGTCCACTCAGAATTCTATATCCAGTGAAGATATTTTAAAATGCATACAAAAAAATACTTTCAGATTAAACAATGCTGAGAGAATTTATCTCTAGCTGTTCTGCACTACAAGAAATGCTAAAGGAAATTCCCCAGCCTGAAGGGATGTGACAATAGATAAAACTCTTTAACTACCAGAAAAAATGAAAAGCAGATAACTGTGTATTTGTGGGTAAATATAAAAACTATTTTTTCATCTCCTAATAGCTGTAAAGACAACTGATTGCTTTAGCAAAACATAACATTTAATTATGTAGTCTATAATTTGTGTGCATGTAAAACATGATAGCAATGACATATAGAATTGAGGTACCAAAAAGTGCTTTGCAAACTTCCTAATTTCACGTGAAGAGGTACAATATTAACTCTAAGAAGATTGTGGTAATATAGGAAAAAACAATAAAAAGAAAATAATACTAAGAGATGTAGCTAAGGAGCAATAGGGCAAATAAAGTAGGATTAGTACAAAAAACAGTAAAGTTTTCATCCCCTGAAGGATTTGAGTTGGAACATCACCAGATCAGGAATTTCATAGACATAGGTTTGATCATTATTCTTCCCCTCAAAACTTGGGATTTGGGGCATATGAAATACTTTCCATCGTTTCTTTATCCCTCCCCAAAGCAATATGTTTCACAAGCCATGTTTTGCTCCTAAATTATTGGGGATCATTGATGTGATCATTTTGGAGGTTTGCATTCATAATCTCTGAATCACTCTCATGAATTTAAAACAAAGCTAATAGTATCATATTTAGCTGTAGTTTCGGCACTACTTCGTTTTATGCTTTCAATATAACATTATTTCAGTATTTGGGTAATGTCCCATGCAATTACTACTGAGAAATGCAATATGAATTTTTAAAATCTATTTCACATACACAGTAGCAGATAGCATTCATAAGGGGAAAATGGAAAATTCCAGAACTCCACTCCCATACGCCTTCCCCTATCCAAACTTCTCCCATAGTGGGGCACTGCCAAGTACTCTTCAGAACTTAATCTAATTTACTTCTGTCCAGTTCTGATTCTTTATAAGGTCAGAGATATCTAGATTCCCTCAGTTCCTGTCCCATGGACCACAGATCTAAACTTCATTAGTTTGAAACCAATACTTGTGCCTAACAACAGTAATTAACAAATGCCATTTTTCTCTCAGAAAACATAGGCGACCCAGCTCCCCCACTCCTCTTTTCTGGCACCCCTTCCTCCCTACCTCCCTCTAACATCAAACTGGCCTCCTCCAATCCAGTGGAAAGGAAAACAAATGCCTGGGCCCCGCGCCTGAGTGTTTCCAGCCCGCATTGCATCGCCAAGGTCAATTCTCCAAGCCAAGGGCCTGGGGTGTGGGACAGATGCAAATTAACAGGGCTCTTACGAAAGGCTGGTTTCTTCTTTTCCTTTCTGGGCTCTTTGATCTCTGCCACGAAGCCCTGCCTCACAGGCTCTAGAAAGTGCCTTTAGGATTAGAGGCAACCGTCGATTTGCTTTTATCTTTTTCTTCACCTCACATGTGAGCGGTGACAACTAGTTTTCCCTCTTTTCCTCTCTCCTGTGCATTTTTACTGGAAAGCCGGCTTCAGCAGCGGCCCGTGCCTCCAGGGGCAGCGGACCCGCGGCTGCAGAGCTCCTTGCGCGGGGGCGGGGCGGGGAGACGGCGCCCCGGGGAGGGTCCCCGCCCGCGGGACCACACCCCCGACCCTCCTCCCAGTCGCCTGCGGGGCTCTGTGTGGTTTTTCATTGCAAAATCCTCCTCTTCCTTCTCCGTTTCCCCGCCCCGCCCCTTTCTCTTTCCTCCCCGGATAAACTCAGACCCCAGGCCTGGCGTCGCGGGTGCCGAGTGGACTGCTGGCCGGGCGGTGAGTGGGGCCGGGTGGGCGGAGAGCCGGGTCGCGGGCGCCTCGAGGCGAGGCCCGAGGCCGGCGGACGCGGGGGCACGCGGTGTCCTGGGCTGGCTACCCCCCGGCCCGCCGCGCCCCGCGCCGCATCCCCAGGTAGTTTCCGAAGTTTCGGGGCGCTCGGCGCATGTCTGCCAGGTGGACGCGTGGGCCTGGCTGGCAGCGAGCCGTCTCCGGTGCTGGGTGAGGGTCGGGGGCCACTTGGATCTGAAGTCGGCGGTCGTGGCCCCGGGACTGAGGCTGTGTTGGGGGAGAGCGTTCCGGCCGCGGAGAAGCGCGCCCCGGAGAGCTGGCTGCGCTGCCCGGCCGCGCTGCGCACTTTTCCCGCGTCTCCTGCCCCGGAGGCGGCTCCGCTGGCGTCTCTGGCGCTCAGCGCAGCTTTGCGGACCCGGGCCTGGCCGACTCGCAGGTAAAAGGGTTTGCAGCCACTTCTTGACGTGCTTTGCTGGCAGAGCGACGGGGATTACAGGAGAGAACCCAACTCTCGCTTTAGCATTCAGGCAGACTTGGGGGGGCGGGTGGTAATTTAGTTCGGCGTACAGTTGGTTTGTTTCTATAAAATAAAACGTTTATGTTTCAAGACTTAGAATTTTCTTTCATTTGTTTTCAAATGAATTTCTTTCATTTGTTTTCTGGTCTTAGGACCTACAGTTTAGTTGAGTTTTTACTTTGTTGCGTATTTAGTGTGTTATCTACCCAAACTAGTACAGAGATGAAGATATTATGCACTAAGGTCGATTTCCCACCTACGTAAAAGGGTAAAGCTTTAATATTTTATATTGGGTGTTACTGCATTACGAGTAGGATATCCTCCATCCGTCTATCTTGCTCTCACGGTAAATCGTGGAACACTGGCATCACTTCCAGGAAATTTGGAAAAGCCAAGAATGCTTATCATCATACTCTATGATGTTGTTGAGTTGTATAGGCCGGTGAGGTAGGCAGAAGGACACGTTAACATTCTGATTAGAAAAGAAGACACAACATTATCACTTTTTACACATAATACAATCGTGTACCTTGAGTATCAACAGAAAACAACTGAAAATCTCATAGAAAAAATAAGAGAATTTAGTGAAGTGTCTAATTGCATCTAACTGCAGTTTACAGTTATCAATAGATGTTTTATATATATATATATATACATATATAAACTGGAAAATAGAACAAAATAAACCATTCCTTTTGGCATGAAATAACTTGAAAAACGTGTTTTAAAAAAGATGTAAAGCTCTAGGGACATAGATGAAACTATACTATATATTAGAATGTATAGATAAAAATACAATGAAATACGTAACATTCTTCTAGACAAAGGTATCATTTCTCTAAAAGAACATATAAATTAAACAGAATCCTAACCGAATTTTTTTGTTTTTAAAGCAACTGTTTAGCTCAAGGGGAAAAATAACTACTTGCCAGGAAGATTTCAATTCAAAGAAAAATGTACATATGTATACATATATCTGGGGATTTTGCAATATAATAAAAGGTCTTATAAAGCTGTAGTGATGAAAAGGCCACTAGGGGGAATAGATCTACTACCGGACAAATCAAAGAAACTGAAGAGACATTTAAGAATAAAAGGAAAGCTGACATTTGATAAGCATACATTTAAAATAGGGAATGGAGAATAAATAACATTTAATCCATCATGTATGGACAATCAGGTGTTTATTTGGGAAACCTAATAATAAAACTTGAACTTTCCCTCACTCTTAACATACAAATGAAATCTAGATGATTTACTAATTTAAGTTGAAATATATGAAACCTAAAAAAGAAGAAAAGCTGAATGGATGTTTGTGAGTGTAGCATGTGGGAAAGCATTTTTGAGGTTGAAAGAAAAACCTAAAGCCCATGTAGGGGCATGATTCTTAACATTTGTATGCAAGAAAAACAAAACAAAACAGATACAAATGGAAATTGTTAACAGAAAAAGAGCTAATTTTCTAATATGCCTAGAACTCTCATTAAGGACTTTTAAGATCAACCATCCAATCTGAGAATTAAAAGTGTGAATTCAAAGTAAGAGAAACACAAATGATAAGGGGAATGAAGACTCAGCCACATTAATTATCAGAAAAATGCAATTAAAGTAAGACCATTTTTGCCTGTTTTACTGATTTTGAAAATGTGATAATGCTCAGTATTGTTGATAGTGTGGTGAGAGAAATATACTCTTACAAACTCTTAGTGGAAATGTATTGGTAAAACTTTTTTATGGTGATAACTTAAAAATTTTAATATCCATTCACTTATTGGAATTCATCGTGCTCCTAAGTGTGCAAATAAAAATCTGTGTCAAAGATGGTCACAAAAGAAAAAAGACAAAAAAGATGGTCACAGTAGGATTGTTTGTAATAGAAAACTTGGGAATAGTTTTGTAACCATTGATTGGAATTTGGTTACAAAATTAATTGTACATCTACAGTGGAATAATAATAGTTTAAAACATTTGATAGTTCTAAATGTTCTAAGGTGGAAGTATGTCCGAAGTATATTATAAATTGAAATGAAAACAAACAGAAACAAAAAACAAGTTGAACCACAGTATGTATAAATGTTTATGTATATGGGTGTGTATATATACATATATTTATATGTATATATGTGTATTTGCTTTATTGTGGTCTGGAACTGAACATGCAATAGCTCTGAGGTATGCATATATTATTATGTATATTCATGTTTTGTTCTGTAAATATATGTATATTTGTAAATAAAAAGTGATGTTTTTATAATAGGAAAAATAAAATAATAAATAGTAAAGATCTTGAGATTGTAATTAGTAATGTAGGTATATAATTCCTTTCTGGATATATTAGTTATCATTCAGTGTAGAAGAAATATATTTTCTTTCACAGAGCTTTTCATATTGTTCACTTCATTTACTTTCTCTTTGAATGTTCTCTTTCAGCTTCTTTCTTTGAAAATCCCTTCCTTTATCTACTTCCTTAGTATTGATTGCTATGATGTTTCCTATAGGCACACAATTGAAGTTTTGCTTGAGGGATTTCACAGCCTGTTAACATTTTTATAAACAGAAAATACAGTAGTTTTTATACTCTTTATATATTTCAGTAACATTGTCCTAAAATCACTTTTGTAGTACTCATTCTTCAGGATGAGAGAGATGCTGTACTTCTAAAAGTTTGTAGGAGTGTATTTCTCTCATCACATTATCAACACTACTGAGTATTATCACATTTTCAAATTCAGTAAAACAGGTAAAAATTAGACTACAAAAAAAATCAAAAAGAATGCGTGGCAAAAATGTAAACATGACAAATTTGAGAAAAAATTCTTAACATAAAATGAAATTTTTCTTTTATACAGCAGGTTCTTATTAGTTATCCATTTTATACATATTAGTGTATATATGTCAATCCCAATCCCCCAATTCATCACACCACCATCACCATCCCCCTGCCGCTTTCCCCCCTTGGTGTCTATACGTTTGTTCCCTACATCTGTGTCTCAATTTCTGCCCTGCAAACTGGTTCATCTGTACCATTTTTCTAAGTTCCACATATATGGGTTAATATACGATTTTGTTTTTCTCTTTCTGACTGACTTCACTCTGTATGACAGTCTGTAGATCCAGCCACGTCTCTACAAATGACCCAGTTTTGTTCCTTTTTATGGCTGAGTAATATTCCATTGTGTATATGTACCACATCTTTATCCATTTGTCTGTCGATGGGCATTTAGGTTGCTTCCATGACCTGGCTATTGTACATAGTGCTGCAGTGAACATTGGGGTGCATGTGTCTTTTTGAATTATGGTTTTCTCTGGGTATATGCCCAGTAGTGGGATTGCTGGGATGTATAGTAATTCTATTTTTAGTTTTTTAAGGAACCTCCATACTGTTCTCTGTAGTGGCTGTATCAATTTACATTCCCACCAACAGTGCAAGAGGGTTCCCTTTTCTCCACACCCTCTCCAGCATTTGTTGCTTGTAGATTTTCTGATGATGCCCATTCTAACTGGTGTGAGGTGATACCTCACTGTAGTTTTGATTTGCATTTCTCTAATAATTAGTGATGTTGAACCTAGCAAACAGAAAAATGGGCACATGACAAACAGGCAGTTCACAGAAATGGAGCTGAAAATGACTTTTAAGGTAAGAGTAAAAACTGCTCAAGAAATGGAAAATAAAACTAAAATGTTTTCACCTTTCAGATTGACAATGACAAAATTTTGATAAAACATAGTGTTAGAAATGTAGCACATTTTTGTCTGGTATGTGAGTTGATTCAGATTCTTGGAGAAGAGTTGGACAATATATGTCAAAATAAAAATGTTCAAAACTTTTATCCATCAATTCTGCTTCCAGGGATTCAATACACTGGTGCATAAAATATATAAATTTATTTCAGCATTGTTTGTAATGGCATACATTTGGGAACAATTTAAATTTTCATCAAGCAGCTAGTTGAACTGTGGTGCAGCCTTTAAAAATAATAAGGTTATATGAACTGAAATGTAATCAATATCAAAGAATTTTAATAAATGAAAAAACAAGATACAAAACAGTATATAGGAAACTGCCGTTTGTAGTAAAAGGCATATATATTAGTTTGTGTTTGCTTAGAAAACCTCTTGAAAGACACAAAAAATCTAGTGTCTGTGGCTGCCTTTTGAGAAGGGAAATGGGGCTCTAGGTAGGACGGATCCTTTTTGTGATATAAATATATGTACTTTTGCAGATAACACATTTTTTTTTTTTTTTAATACACAATGTATTTATTTATTTATTTATTTATGGCTGTGTTGGGTCTTCATCTCTGTGCATGGGCTTTCTCTAGTTGTGGCAAGTGGGGGTCACTCCTCATCGCGGTGCGCAGGCCTCTCACTATCGCGGCCTCTGTTGTTGCGGAGCACAGGCTCCAGACGCGCAGGCTCAGTAATTGTGGCTCACGGGCCTAGTTGCTCCATGGCATGTGGGATCTTCCCAGACCAGGGCTCGAACCCGTGTCGTCTGCATTGGCAGGCAGATTCTCAACCACTGCGCCACCAGGGAAGCCCCATGCAGATAACACATTTTAAAATGTAAGATTACTTATTAAAATGATTTAATTGTAGGTCACCTGACATCCTGTTTTGTTACAGTTTTTAATACTAGAAGACTAGTCAGAAAATGACACAATAAGGCATTATCTGGCAATCTTTTAGATATCATGATTGTCATGGTAATGTTTCCTAAAATGTATTATATAAACATCATGATTATATTGTTCTTCTGGAATTTTTTGTACTCCAGGTAACAAAAACATGCCTCCTCTGAAAGCTAAAATGGAGAGACCTGATATTCTCTTTTAAAAAATTAAGCTAATACGTTTAATAAAAGTTATCTATCGGGCTTCCCTGGTGGCGCAGTGGTTGAGAGTCTGCCTGCCGATGCAGGGGACACGGGTTCGTGCCCTGGTCCAGGAGGATCCCACGTGCCGCGGAGTGGCTGGTCCCGTGAGCCATGGCCGCTGAGCCTGTGCTTCCGGAGCCTGTGCTCCGCAACGGGAGAGGCCACAACAGTGAGAGGCCCGCGTACCACACACACACACACACACACACACACACACACACACAAAGTTATCTATCAACTGTGACTATCAGTTTGCTCCCATTTAATCTAATTCTTTTGTTTTTAAATAAAGCTGAATAACCAACCTCCTGCTAAAAAGAAGGAAATGTCCTACCATAGACCTTTTGTTTGGAAGGAACCATAGTGTGACTAAAATAATAAAAATGTTTGTATAAATTATAAAAACAGAACATAAATTGGTTAGATTTTGCCAACATTTTCATTTGTTCATAGTGAAAATTAGTCACCATTTCTCTCAAGTTTCTTATAGGATTAATTTCATGCAAATATATAATTAAATATATATACCATGTATTGTTCTAATGAAAGATTCCATGTGTCTCTGGGTTACTTCTACTGCATGTTTTATTCCAGAGTAACAGATCTAAATTTATCTTGTTAGTGAAGGCCTCTGTAATTGCTTTTTGAGTAGGATAGTTTCTTAATTCCAGCCCATGTAACAGCAACCTATTAAGTTGCCAAGGTGTGGAACAGGAATGACAGAATCCTTCACAATCTTCGGACTTTAATCCATTCATACTGAGCCCACTCAACTATCTAGTTCGCTGGTGACTAGGAAACCCATAAAACTAACACAATACACCACAGGAGCCAAGATTTTGGCTTCAAGTCTGTAAAGAGAATTGTGTTTGGAAGGATGTGTAAAGTTTTCATCTTTTATAGACCTCAGGTCTTTTTAGTTAAATTCATTGTAAGAGTCTAGATTGTCAGTTCTATTTCTATTATTTTTTCATTTCAGATTATAAAATCTATTATACATTTCTTTTTTTTTTTTTCGGTACGCGGGCCTGTCACTGTTGTGGCCTCTCCCGTTGTGGAGCACAGGCTCCAGACGCTCAGTCTTAGCGGCCATGGCTCACGGGCCCAGCCGCTCTGCAGCATGTGGGATCTTCCCGGACCGGGGCACAAACCCGTGTCCCCTGCATCGGCAGGCGGACTCTCAACCACTGCGCCACCAGGAAAGCCCTATTATACATATTTTATAGAAAATTTGAAAAGGAAATATTATTTATACTTTAGCATATTCTCTAGATTTTAAATACTTTTAAAAACAAAACTTTCCATATTATAATTATGCAGATTATTGTAAGCATTTTAATTATTTTTACAAAATTATTGTGACCATATTTTTAAAGGAATATGATTTTATAATGTTTCACTATAATGTGTTTTCTTATATGTGTTAGATATTTATGTGCTAGATATTTATGTAGTTTACAGTTACTACTGTTTCATTCTGTACTCCTTCTATGAGAATGAGAATGTATCACTTAAAACAAAAATCTTACAACATATTTGAACTTTAAAGGAAGTTTATTAAGATAAGTTTCTTTTATAAGTCAGAAGGAGAAAAATACCGTATGCTAGCGCATATATATGGAATCTATAAAAATGGTATTGATGGACCTAGTGGCAGGGCAGGAATAAAGACGCAGATGTAGAGAACAGACTTGAGGACACAGCAGGGGAGGGGAAGCTGGGACAAAGTGAGAGAGTAGCACTGACATATATACACTACCAAATGTAAAATAGATAGCTAGTGGGAAGCAGCTGCATAGCACAGGGAGATCAGCTCGGTGCTTTGTGACCACCTAGAGGGGTGGGGTAAGGAGGGAGGGAGGGAGACGCAAGAGGGAGGGGATATGGGGATATATGTATACATATAACTGATTCACTTTGTTATAAAGCAGAAACTAACACACCATTGTAAAGCAATTATACTCCAATAAAGATGCAAAAAAGAAAAAGATGTGATTCTTTTAGAAGATGGCTTTTTTTTGAGTGAGGAATGGATGTTATCCAAAGTTGGGCATGTGTTGGGGGAGGTGAGAGGTATGTCAGAATTGCTTGGAAAATGGTTTCAAACTATAAACTTTGTGAAAGAAGTTCTCTAGACTAATGGTTCTCAGAGTGAACTAGCAGTATCAGCCTCACCCGGTCTGATATGCTCTAAGTTCTATTTGGAACGGTTCTAGATTTCCTTTGTACAACTACCCGCCCCTTCCTTGAGAATCATCATATTTGATTGCTGAGCTGTAGAATTTTTGTGCAGGAAGGAGCTTTGGAAATCAATTTGTTCAAACTTTTATACAGGTATAGTTAACGTATACTTGTCTGGGTGTATTCTGTGTGTGACTGAAGCTCTCTATGAAACATATGCGTAGTTTTTCTTCAGTGTCAACGTGATGAAAATTTCATAATTTTTACACTCATGAGAACAAACTGAACCATATTATTTAGTAATATATGTAGCAAATTGACTTTCTTAAATATTCTTGGTAAGAGTGGAGTGTTAAAGACATATCTACACTCATTTTGGAAGTGGTAACATCAAATGATGAGCTAATATTTGGAAAATCCTTGTAGGAACATTGCATATTCTATTAATCATCCTTTTGCAAATTTCTGCTATGCTAAGTACCCTTGAATAGTACTGTAACAGAAAATTTTTAAAAGACACCTGATTTAATGTCATAATCTAAAAAATATTTATGTATTAAAAAACTCTTTAGCAACTTGATCCAATTTAAAAATCTATATGAAAGAACTTTGGATTTGGCTACAGAAGGTGTTAATTTTTATTTTAAATTTATTGTCTCAGTTGTTTTTGAATTGTTTTAATGTTGGACATTTATGTACTTATAAAAGTTTTCAAAGAAGTTTTCTCAATAGAAAAGAAGTAAAACATCTGAAAATTTGACCATGTTCCTGATTTTTGGAATAATTTTCTTATTTATAATAGGTACATAAATATATATTTTGGTACTTGAATAATTAAATATGCACAGTAGAAAGAATATTTAATTCCTTTACTTAAAAACTGTATTTTCTCCCCCAACATGAGGGAGTGGAGAAAATGAGAAAATATTGGGGAATTCTCAACTCTTTGTGAGCTGCAGGGATTCCCCTTTCCCTCTGCTTAAGCCAGGACCAGAGGGCTTCTCCTGATCTCTCTGCATCTGGCACTTGCTACTGTGTGTCAGGCTGCCTTGAAATAGTATCATGCTAGAGATACCAGAGAAAAATTAGGAAACTGATTCTGGTTTGATAGTGTTTCCCATTCTGGACTTCTTCTCCCATGCTCTTGCTACTGTTTAATTTTCAGGACCTTCAGATGCCCAATCATTTTTTCTACATTAATTGCATTCAGTTGTGTAGATTTACTGAATCTGACTCAGAACTGGAACATGTGACCTCTTATGAATTTTTTCCTCCTGGTTCATGGATAATTTCCCAAATATACATATATTTCAAAAATCTTACAAAAGGGAAGTTGAAAGGGAGTTCAGTAGAAAAGTCTGTTTTTATTTTAGAGGGTAGAGTACAGTAATAGTGGGGAGAGCTGGAGAGGGCAGCAAGGTGCAGAAAGTAATTTTCAGTGACATTTAGAATGCTAACCTGGCCTCTGATGATGGTGTTTTGAACTATTCTTTCCCCAGTTTATAGAACTGTGACCTTGAACAGATTATTTAAACTCTGTGGGCTTCTGTTTCCTTACCTGTGTAATGAAAATTGTAATA